CAGTTCGGAACATGAGGTTCACCTGTCCGGCCTGCTGAGGTGAGGAACTGACAGGTTCCAAATGCATCCAGCTGGAAGAAGCCTGCAGAAACCTGATTGTCACAAGAGTGACTGCATAAAAAGTGGGACCAATGGTCTGTGAACTGATGTACAAGAGGCATCTGACATAAGCCGCCTGGCACGTGTGGTCTTTTCCCCCTTTCCAAAGTAGTTACTCCTATTGGGCCCCAAATCATGGGTCCTAGCTCTTACTTATTTTCCTACAGCTTGGAGCTAAGAACCACTTTTGACCCAGAAAAAAACCCCACAAAGTGACAGCTTCGTCTTCATCTTCAATTCCATCCTGAGCCAGGATTCTCTCTCCACGAGGGCATGGTTGGCTAAATCTTACTGCTTCTGCTTTCTGTCATTTCAACTGTCAAGGAAATGAAAGAAGTTCTAAAAGTTCATTTGTACCTCATGGAATTGTTCCTCATCAGAAAATGGGGGCTTGAAATTAGAATTGACATGAAAGGGTTGTAATGTAAGGCTTTGGAAATAGAATCATGTCTGAGGGTAGCAGAGGTCGTTAGGCTTTTGGGGAACTCTGTTGAGTCTCAAGGACAAAGAGGAGAAGGAAAGAGAGACAAGAAGAAAGAGAAAGGAGAGAGAAAAAGTTATTGGGATCCTATTTTGAAAGTCATCCTCTTGGAATCCGTCGCTAGCTCTGTGCCCTATCACCTTGTGTCTGAACAATTTGCTGTAAAACTGCCTCTTCATCAGCAGAAATCCATGTAAGATTCATGACCTTAAGACTTCACTGAAGAGATTTACACATTTTTATCGAGAGTTGAAATGGTGGAAGATTAAAACAAATGAAATGAAAACGACTGCTGAATGACTGATGAGTGTCTGTCCTTGGCATGGAAATGGGGTTTAGAAGATGAGTCCTGCCCTTTTAATTGGAGAAGAGAGCCATGTTTCAGGGCTCAGGAATACCTGGCGAGTTTGAAAAGGAAGTGGAGAGTCAATGAGTGTCAATGCACTTGCTAGGGCAGAATAAGATAAATAGCTAAAACAGTTCCTGGAAGCGAGAAGATAAAATGGCCCTTAGAAACCGTACGATCTCTCTAAGTGGGATGTGAGGCAGGAGGAGACCTTTGGAGCTGAGCATCCAGCCTTGTTCCCATTGGCTAGTCTGCACCCGTGGATGGAGCCACAGTCAGCGGTCTTTAACATCTAAGTCCTCCAGCTTCCAATCCTTTGAAACATAAAGTTGTCATGCTGTCACAACTGAGTTCAGAGCAACCAAGGGAGAACCAGGGACACCTAGAGTCATACAGTTCTTAGGACTGATGGCTGGGAGGGTCTTCCTGCTGGTCCTTCTGGCCTTGACTGACTCACTGATCCGTGTGCTCCCTCTGGGGTAGATCAGTTTGGTTAATAAGGTTTTCACACAGGAAGGAACTTTTCACTAAGAAAATACATATTGCCCTCCCTAATGGCAGAAAATGTCTGAGATCTCCAGGATGCCTGTACGAAATAGTGTCCTGTGACTTTTTTCCAATATCTTAAACCTCTTTGGGAGATGCTTTTATTTGCTACCTGACAGGACCCATTTATCTGAAGTGTAGTCTAAATAAATGGAGTTTCAACACTTGTTCATTTGTTTGTACCTGTCTCCTGACTTTAGATCTTGAGCAAGTGACTGTTTTTTTTTTTTAAGGGAACCATGCCATCTATATGTTTTAACCAACTGCGTGATCTTTCTTGCCTAAATGAAAAACACTGCTTGTATAATTGAGCTTTGAGTTTCATTCCAAGTTACGGTGGCCACAGAATTCTTGGTCTCATCCTTAATTGATTTATTTTCAAGTGTTTAACAATACTTAAGGCCAAATAGAAGCAATCTCTCAGGCTGAGAAAGGTTGTTAGGGATCATCCAGAATTTTTCTCCATGTGGCAGACCTTACTGTCAGGGTGTACGTATAACGTATGAAGTCTCTGACTCATGAGTAACAGACAAATTGAACAGTCATGCTCTCCATTCTGTATCTTCCGATCAGCAATATTTCTAAACTTTATAATGACAAGACAATCTTATAAGTGAAATTTTAGATCCTCTGATATCCAGATCTCTCTCTACGAAATACTGTGACTTCTAGGAGAGGGACGAAACAAAGATACTTCATTCATAAAATCAGTTTTCTGATCTGAACTTTTCTAAAAAAAAATCAGAACAGAGTGAGAATTTGTCATGAGATTTTATTGACTCTCACACACACGTACACAAACACACTTCAAGTCATAATAAAGCCCTGTTTTGAAATAATACTTACAAAAAATAAGCTGATTTAACAGTAGTGAATCCAATCCTGGACAGGAGTTAGTGGGAAGGAAAACACAGGCTATAATTGGTGAGCACACCCCAGTGCTATGGATGGTAAGGGTCTTTTTTTAAGGATTGTGGGCTATATTCTTAGGGTAAACCATGTCTGGCCGACTTGGCTTTTGTGTTGCAAAATTCTAGAAGTTGCCATCACACAGAATCCGATAATGGGTGGTGCCCCTTTTGGGGTGGTTCTGTGGGAATGTACTGCTGGTACATTAGTCTGGGGCTCTGGGGTTCTTGTCTCACCCGCGTGCCAGACACTGGGGGGACAGTGATTACTTGGTTCACGTCTCCTTTACAGATCTTTCCTTCCAACGACAGTGGCTTCAAGGAGGGTAAGTATAATACTGAAGCGCCACCTTGAATTTATTTAGAAAAAGAGAGAAATTTCATGAGATTTATGGGAAAGTGATTGACAATTTCTCCTTTCCCCTCAGAACTTCACTTTGGCTGACACAATATTAGTCTTCCCAAGGTCATCATTTAGTTTTTCATACATTTGTTACCCTACAAGAGACTCAGGTACTGCCTTAATAAGGTAGGTAACCAGGACGTATGCTAATTCAACTAAAAAATTTTATACCTGAGTTACTCAAACCTCAGGGCTGATGCAGAAAAATACATTTAAATTGTAGGTAAGAATGTTAGGCAACCCTCCAGAGGTCACTTTTCTGCAACTGAATCACTTGCATTTATTTAGTGATTTAATCCCTGAATACCTGTAGTTGTATAAATTAGATACGAATTTCTATCAATAGTAACAATAAAGTAGTCCCTTAAAATAGTTTTCTTTTCTGAAAATGTCCTCTGGTGTCTACTGTTTTAAAAACAAACCAACCAACAGAATAACGAATTGTGCCCGTTTCTCAGCTATTGTTCTATCTCTCTGCTTCCTTTCCCAACAAAAATTCTCAAATAAACTATTTTTTCTTTTTCTATTTTTCTACTTCCCATTAGCTCCTTAACCAATTTCAGTTCATCTTCCATTCCCACACACTCACTGAAACTGTTCTTGTCCAATGTTCTAGAACCTTCTTGCTGCAAATCCATTGGTCACCTCTGCTATCATATCACTCAGTCTCCCAGTGGACCAGTCCCCACTCTCCGTTATACAGTCTCCTCTCTGGGCTTTTCTGGGTTTCCTCTGCCTTGTGGCCACTTCTGCTCAGTCCTTTTGGTTGAGCTCATTCCCTTTTCTGTTCCCCTTCTTCATATCGTCCTCGAACCCAAGTACAACCCAATTTCTCCTCTTTTCACTAACTCTGTTTATTCCCAGAAAATCTATCTCACATGCTTCTGGCTTTAAATACCATCTACCTGTCAATGACACCTGAAGTTTGAACTCTATCCCTGACCTCTCCATTAAGCTCCAAACCATTTATCTGATTTTCTCAGTGACATGTTTACTTTGGTTTCTAATGGGTATTATAAACTCAGCAGAGCTAAAACACAAATCTTGATTTCTCTTCAAGGCCGTTCCAATCTTACCTATATTGGAAAGTCACATCAGGATGCAGCCAGTTGCTTAGGTCACATACCGAGAAGTCATTCTTGGACAAAGCAGATGCAGTACATATACACAATGGAATATTACTCAGCCATAAAAAGAATGAAATAATGCCATTTGCAGGAACACGAATGGGTCTAGAGAAGATAATATTAAGTGAAGTCGGTCAGAAAGAGAAAGGCAAATTTGGAAGCTAAAATTATTGGGTGCTTGTTACTTACATCCCATTCAATTCTCCAAAGATTTCAGGTATTAATCCAGCAGTAAGTATTAGCAAACCCATGGTGCATCTAAACCTAATACTAATAGTAGTTACCACGCTTATAATACTAACTGGGGACTATTTAAAGCACATTACATATGTTACCACATGTAATCCCACAAATAGGAGTTCAGTACTATGATTAACACTGTCTCCTTTTTTCCCCTCATAGTTGAGTAAAAACTGAGGCACATAGAAAGGGTAACTTTGCCAAGATCATCCAGTTAGTAAGAGGTGAAACGAGTATTTTTATACCCTGGAAATTCAGCTCCAGTGTCTACTTTCCATGTAATAGATCATGTATTGTTCTGGTTAACATACTTGGTGATGGTGCTTTAAAGATGAGAGATGGTCTATAGGGGGAAAATTTTTTTTATTAAACTATAGTTGATTCACAATGTTGTGTTAGTGCTGGTGTACAGCATAGTGGTTCAGTTGCACATATACACATTCCCTTTCATATTTTTTCCCATCATAGATGATTACAAAATATTGAATATAGTTCCCTGTGCTATGCAGTAGGACTTTGCTGTATATCTATTTTAGATATAGTAGTTAGCATCTGCAAATCCCAAACTCTAAAGGTGGGGGGGGATCTTAAATATAAAAAACCTAAAAGACTTGCATCATCTGTTCGTTGAGAGGGACAGAAATGTCTGGAAAGACAAGAATGAGAAGAAATGATGGCTGTCAGCCCTAGGGTTAGGGTGCGGGCTCCAGACGCCTGAGGAGCACCGTGCAGCCACAGCACAGATGTAGACGGCAGAGTCTCCGGGCTGAGCGGCTGTGATGTGCAGGGAGCCGTGACGTTCCTTTCTGTTTATTGTGGCGCTTACTCTTCCTTCCTTCTTCATCTCTAGGCTCAGTATAAACAAGGATTCGATGCCTCCGCCAGGCTTCTGTTGCAACCACTGTAAGGTGGTCATAACTACCGAGTAGCTGCAGTTGACAGTGACAAAATCTCCCTCCTGGGCACTCAGGTACAGAGGACTCTGCTCCACCTCATTTTCGCCACTTATCCCTGTTCTCAAAGACAGTGTCGAATACAGAATGTCACCATTAGCGCAGCATTTCTACACATTTCTTCCCTTTCCACATTTCCTAAAGGGCACTCTGGAATAGTCACTTGAAGTCCCTTATCTCCTCTCCTCAGAATTTTGGGAAAAAATCCATTTAGCCTTCCCGTTCCATATCCAGAAACTCCCCAACTTACAGCTTAACTGAAGCCACAGAATAATCGATAAAACTTGCTGGGGCTTCCCCATCTTTCTGCAGGTCTCTGCTGTAGGATTTGGAATATATATTAGTTGGTCAAAGGAGTCTATTATTATTGTAAGTTCCCCACGTTTGCTTTAGAAATCAAACGGGATTCCCAGCCCATCAGAGGCAGCACAAATGCACACATTTACACTATCTGTACGTAGTGCTATGTGCACGGTGAACCGTTACTGTCTTTTAAATAAAACGCCCACATTGCCACCTAGTGGCAACACACAGCCACGTGTTACGTAGGTCAAATACTCTGTAGCTTACTGGATCTGGGAAAATACTGGGCTTATCAATTTGGAATAGGGGTACAAAATGAGTAGTTAGACAATATTTGTCATTAGAGCTATAAAACCCTGTGGGGTTCCAACCAGAGCCATCTCTTGGCAAATGAAAGCTGGGTAGGTTTTAACTCAGGTTACTGTGGAGTAGAAACTAATAAGTTACAGTGGAATCCAGTCTCCCAAGAGGAGAACTGATGATACATTCAGAGAGAAGCAGGTTTAGGAAGAATAGCCAACTGATGATTTTCTTCTTCCTGTGAGACTCAGTGGTATTTTTTTGCAAATATTTGATAAGATACGCCTGTATCCTTTCAGACAGTCTCCTTTACCTCGAGCTAGTTTGAGAGGGTTATGCAACCAGATCATGTTTATGAACTACTGTAAATCCAGGGCCCCTTGTTCACTATATCTCAGTTGATTTTCATAAAAATACATGCAGAAATACGTAGTTATCTCCGTTAAATTTTACTGTGGCTGTTTCAATCCTTCTAATATGTCCTAACATATTAGATACCTATCTCAGCATTGTGCAGTTTGCGCATTTGTGTACATTACATGAATTCACCTACGATGACCGTGAACGGATCAGGACAAAGGCTAAATTCAGGTAAGACAACCAGAGTGACAGTTCGCTGCATGAAATCGTTACATGAGGTCATTCTTTCAGTTGAGATCCACGGGCTGGAGCAGCATAGAGAAGGGCAGAGTGAAAAGTGAATATGGTTTGGAGCCAAATAGACTTAACGTTTGAGTCTTAGCTCTGCCACTTACTCGATTGGGTTTTGAGAAGTTACCACAAAACTTCAGTCCTCAGTTTCCTGTAAAATGGGGATGACAATACCAAACTGTGGTTTTGTGGTGAGAATTACAGATAACACTGGGAGTTAACAGAGTACAGTGGTTAAGAATTCAGGCTTTGGGCGAATCTGTCTGTGCTTATCAGCCAACTCTATCCTCTTAATGACCATGTTCTTAGGCAAGGGAGTTAATTTCTCTGTGCCTCAGTTTCCTTGGGGCTAATAATTGTACCTACTTCATGGGTCTGGAGTAGAGAATAAATAAATGAATGTATTAGATGCACTTAGAACAGTCCTTCAGACATACTGAGCCCTTGACTATTATTACTATTAATAATATAACAGGGCCTGTGATAAATATATCACTCAACGTGGTATTATTACATGGTATTATTATTTTATTATTTTCCTAATAATATAGTGAAAAACAAAACAGTTGAATGTTTTGCAAACATTTGAGATGATTTAAATCTACAAAAGTGCCTTGAATTTAGCAGCCTCGCTTAAAAAAACATCTTCAGAGAACTCATTCCAGCTCATGCTAATCACGGTGTTATTTTCTAAGAGCACACGCCTTATCTGTTAATAATATGCTCTTAAACTTTGCTGGATATCAGTTCATTTCTTCTGTATTTGTGGGTTTGGGATTTCCTTCATTCCCCGAAATTTTACCCAATGTCTCTCAAATCATGCCTGCAAATTCTTTTTGTATTTTGGAAATTAATTTACATGGTTTAGACGGCTTGATTATATTGAAAGTATCTAAGACCTCTCTTAATATCCCTTAACATAGTTTTCCATTTCTTCCTTTTTTCTTTTCCAGTTTGAAAATTATTCTGCGTGGTACAGAATAGAGAATGAAACCAGAAGTTGACAATTTGACTTTTCTCTATCTGTCAACATTATTCTATTTTCCTTAATATGTGAATCAGTCTTCTCCCCTGCCCCTCCCTCCTCTTTTCTCTAAACTGTGCTAAGATGCCCTTTATTTTGTACTTTATATTTTTTTAAGTTTTTTTTTCACTCTTAATGGGTTTTCACTTTTTAATCCTTTCCTTCAAGGCCCATGCTATCTTCACTATTCCTCTTTGTCTATGTGTCAGATGGTCCATATTCTTATCATTTTTAGTTAGAATCTGAGTGAAAAAATTTTATAATTTTTAGTTAGAACTGTTCTAAGTGCATCTCACACCTTCCCTGCACTGCTGTGGATTTCACTCGATGACTCCATCTTTAATGTTCTTCCTGAACCACATTACAATGAAATAGTAAAGTTTTAATTTGTTTTAGAGTTTTTCATTTCATAACCTACAATCATATTTAAATTTTTTGGTTGTCTTTTCTTTTTATTGAAGTAAAATTTACAAAAGATTCACCACTTAATCATTTTAAAGTATACAGTTCAGTCGCCTTCAGCTCATTCACAATATTGTGCTGGTGTCAGCACGATCCAGCTCCAGAACATTTTATTATCCCCCAAAGAAACCCAGTGTTATTAAGCAATCACTCCCCATTCCTCCCTTTCCAAGCGCCTGGCAACCACTCATGTGTTTTCTGACACTGTGGATTTTCCTATTCTGGGAATTTTATATAAATAAAACACGCAATCTGGGCACCTAGTGTCTGGCTTCTTTCACACAGCATAATTTTCAAGGTTCATCCACGTTGTGATACATCAGTACTTCATTCTTTTTTATGGTTGAATAATATTTCATTGAATGGATATAATACATTTTATTTATCCATTTGGGTTGTTTTCACTTGTTGACTATTATGAACATCATGTACAAGTTTTATGTATTTTGGGTAGATACCTGGCACTGGAATTCTAGGAGCTGCTATGGTGGGACTTGTTCAGTTCCATGATGCTTCAAGATCTGATCTGTTCCTTTTCACCTATCTTTTCTCGCTTCATCCCCATGGTCTAGTGCATGATTATTTTTATTTCTGCTTTACCGATGAAAACAACTAAAGCTCTGAGACACTGATTAACATGGCCAAGTTGGCATAACTGATAAGCAGGAGAGCCAGGACTGGCATGCAAGTCACTAGCATCTAATTCCTGCACATCATGCAAGGACACCTCACGGGCAGGGAGCAGCTGACTGAGTGGAGTGCAGGCACATTATCTGAGCCCTCTCCCCATTTTCAGTCAAAGAACGCTTGCACCCCTGGAATTAGAGGCAATTACAGCTGTTGTTGCTTTTTCCTGACTTTTAGCAACATCTCAGCAGAACGTGAGAGAGATCAAGCCTCCTGAATGTGCGGCTCCTAGTCTCACCGCGCCCCGCACCTGGGTCGCTGAGGTTTTTGTACAGCTGCCCCCGTGCCCTTGGCACTGTGAGTCTCAGAAGGCAGTAGTATACGGCTGAGTCTGCTATCTGGGTGGGGTATATCGTGATAGGGGAGGTTTTGTCTTTAACATTTCTGGCTCCAAAGTTTTTGCTGTTTTTCATGGTCTCTTCCTGAAGAAACCGCAGCGCTTTGTTGGGATACTGGACATACCAGAAAAGAGTAGGGTACCCCGTGGATGTGTACGTGCAGTTCATGGTCACCGATGCCCCTTCCGAGACGGTGACTTGGCCTGTCTGTTGGACTGAATTGCCACTGGTTCCTCCTGGAGGAGAAAAAAGTGCTTATTTCTTGGGTTTGACCCGAGCTGCATCTTTTGGAGAAAGTTTTCACTCTTCTGAAATAATAAAAGATAAATTTAAGTAAAATGTACTTACCAAACATGAAAATCAGAATTAGAGAGCCCAAGGGGGAGTTCATTGCTAGTGTCTCTGGTCTGCTGGAGGGAGGCACCACTGTGGAAGTGAAGATACAAAGGGGTCACAGTTGTGCTCAAAACACATGCATAAATTATGACTATGTTGGCAAACAGCACCCCCATGTGACAAGTTAATGAACAGATTAAAAGATTGTCCTCTGCCTCTCAACATCTGCCCTGTGTCCTCACTACTGTCCTCATTCTTATGGGACACATTGGATGTAAGCTGGTCCTGTTGTGCAAAAGGGAGTTGCCACTTGCTAATCAGTCTGCTGTCTCTAGGACCCACTGTTCCAAGGGAGAGTAACTCCCTCTAGAACTTAGACGTCACAACCAGGGCAGCATTTTAGATAGCTGTTTCCACTTCTTCAAGTTTTTATGAATGAATGTATGAGTACATAAATTATTTCTTTAAAGTAATTGGAAACACAATTTGACTAAGTGCCCAATGTTGAGGTGTTAAGGTCAATATTTGGCCAAAGCTGAAGCTGAATCTGAATGTCAACAAAATAGAATTAACTTCGATAATCCCAGAATAAATCAGAAATTGTATCCAAAATTTAATGATTATTTTCATGGTATTTTGAAAGGTCTTAGTATTTGTATTTTAAAAATGTAACATTATAGTACAGAAACAATAGCTTCTCAAAACTGTCGTTTGATTGCTTCTGTTATATTTCACATGTTGAAACTTTCTGCTGAAAATGGTGATGAAGCAAGTTGTATTTTGGCTCTTGTTTCTAAGAGAAGTTAATGCCTGTGGTATATTTATCCCTTTTTCACCTGGACCTGAAGATCTGGTCAACGGTGATGGTGCAATTTCTTTGAAGTCATCCTTCCTGCAGTGTGGAATTTTGTACTCTCAACATTGTTCGGGCTTTCTTGATTGCTTCTTTTCTCCCCTTCCTTTCTTCCTCAGCCCTGGCATCATGCTGTCCAGTTTCTTTGTTCTTCAAGTACATAAGCTTGCACTTAGACAAGATGTGGTTGGACTTGAGGGTGGAATATTTTCAGTCTTTATTTCTGGTTGCATAATGAGTGGCTCAAGACCTGTGGTATCATTTGAGTTTGGACTCTGGAGCCAGCCTGGCTGGGTTCAGATTCTGTCTCAAGCTCTTACTGGGTGTCAGACCTTGGGCAATCAATTTCCTTAAACTCTCTGTGCTTCAGTTTTCTCATCTGTAAAGTGAGGGTAAAAATAAAATGTAACTAGGGTTGTTGTGAAGGTTAAATGAAGTTTAAGTGCTTAGCATGACACATAATAGTAAGTGCTCAATGATATCACTACATACTTGTATGTAGCAGGGGTCAGCAAACTATGGCCCTTTGGCCAAATCCAGCCCAACACATGTTTTTGTAAATAAAGTTTTATTGGCACACAGATGTGCTCATTTTAAAAAAAAGGCTAGGGGGAGGGGATAGCTCAGTGGTGGAGCGCATGCCTAGCATGTACGAGGTCCTGGGGTTCAATTCCCAGCGCTACCATTAAAAATAAATAAATAAACCTAATTACACCCTCCTTCAAAAAATAAATCCAAACAAACAAACAAACAAACAAAAAAAGACTAGTGGTGCCTTTAGGAAGGGGCTTGGAGAAGTCCTTGGAAAAACAGAGAAGGAATAAGAAGGAATTCCAAGATCATGTGAGTGTGTGTGTGTGTGTGTGTG